GAGGACGGTGGGTGGGGAGTGAGGGTGGAGGGTGGGGCGGGAACTGGGAGGAGGGGAGTTATGGGGGGAAAAAAGAGGAGCAAATGTAATAATCTGAACAATAAAGATTCAATTTTTTTTAAAAAGCCCAGTCCAACTGCTTACTGCTTCTGTTTTTCAATATTTTAAAAGATATAACTAAGCTGTACTTGATAAGTACTTTCTACAAATAGGGTATTCATCATAAATAATATTTTATATGGCAAGATATTTTTCTTATAGTTCACTTAAGGTTAGTTTTCTGAATATTTATTTTAGTGATAGAAGAAAACCAAATATTATGTGTTCAGTTTAATATAGAAGACTATTACTTCTCTCAAATGGAAACTGTGATATTACTTACCTTTGTACATGTAATTCTTACCTCTGGCCTTTTTCTTTTAAGGAGATGGGTGTGTGCATGCACGTTATGCACCCTGTGTATTTGTGTAAAAGGTGTTTTACCTGTTAAACAGGTTTTAGAAAGATTATCTAGTCTCTTTCAGTATTACTTTTCAGTGCTATCATTTAAAAGGAAAGGTAATAGTTCCCACTCTCTTACAATAAACTAAATACAGCTGACATATTTTATATGTTAGCATAATTTTGAGGGCTTTTACTGTTGCAGTATTCAGATTACTCCAAACATTACATTTTCCCATAGTTAACCTGAAATAATGAAATGAATGCCAACAAGGGCAAGCATCCAGTTTTTATGGAGATGAAATATGAAAGTGCCTAAAAATGATGTAACATAGTTAAAGATGATTTTTATTCATTAATAATATTATATTTCAGAAACCAACAGATTACAGTAAAAAGTATGAGGATGAAAGATGGGAAATAAGGTTTGAGGTAAGTTTCAATCCAAATATTCTGGAAACTTTGGATACTTTATCAGTATAAAGGATTTGATACAAAATCAGGAAGTAAGCATTTTCTTTTATATCAGCTTCATTGAGGCATAATTTACATACTATAAATTTGAACTTTTTAAAGTGTACAATTCAATGGGTTTTTAGTATGTTCAGAGAGCTGCATTCACAGAGTGCAATCATCATGACTATTAATTCCACACTTCATCACCTGAAAAAGAAACCTCACCAGCAGCAGTCACTTCCCATTCTCCCCTTCCCCAGTCAGTCTCCTGGAGACCATGAATGTCCTGTCTCTGGATTTGCCTATACTGGACATTTCTCATAAATGGAATCACACAATAAAGCCCTTTGTGATTGGCTTCTTTCTTTCTGCATAATGTTTTCAAGCTTCACTCATGTTGGAGTATGTGTCCTTTTTATGTCTGAATAATATTTCATTGTCTGGATAAACCACATTTTGTTTACCCATTAATCTGTTGATGGACACTAGGGTTATTTCTACCTTTTTGCAATTGTGAGTAAAACTATGGTGAACATTTGTGTACAAGATTTTTGGTGGACATCTGTTTTCACTTCTCCTGGGTATGAACATAGGAGTGGAATTACTAAGACATCTGGTGACATAGTTTACCATTTTAAGGAACTCTATGAGACTGTTTTCTTAAGGGACTGTACCATTTTCTTTTTGTACTGGGAACATATAAGAGTTCATATTTCCATATCCTTACCAACAGTTGCTACCCGACTTTTTTCCTAGCCATCTTGGGATAGGTGTGAAGTATGGTATCTCATTGTGGTTTTCATTTGCATTTACCTGATGATCAATGATGGTTAGCATTTTTTCATGTGCTCTTTGGCCAAATATGTATATTTCTATTAAGATCCTCGGCTTAGGATTTTATGCCAAAACCAAAGGCAGCAAAAACAAAATTAAACAAGTGGGACTATGTCAAACTAAAAAGCATCTGCACAGCAAAAGAAATAATCAAAAATGAAAAAGCAGTCTACTGAAAGGAAGAAAATATTCACAGATCATATATTTGTCAAGGCACTAATATTCAAAATATATAAAGAAGTTAGGGAGAAACCAAGATGGCGGCATAGGTAAACACCAAAATAGCTGCCTCCCACAACAATATCAAAAATACAACGAAAAGAGTAGTTCTCTCACTGCAGACACAGCTGATTCTCACAGCCACTTGGCCTGGAGGTCAAATCCCCCTTACTATTAGCTACAACAATCAAGGCTTAACTAAAAGACTGCGCACAAAGACCACTAGGGGGTGCACCAAGAAAGCATAACAAAATGCGGAGACAAAGAAACAGGACAAAATTGTCAATAGAAGATATAGAGTTCAGAACCACACTTTTAAGGTCTCTCAAGAACTGTTTAGAAGCCACTGATAAACTTAATGAGATCCTCGAGAAATCTAATGAGACCCTCGATGCTATGATAAAGAACCAACTAGAAATTAAGCATACACGGACTGAAATAACGAATATT